GGCTTCAACTAAAACAAGGGCAGGTTTTAAATATTCATTTACTTTCCAAAAATCTGATTCTGCAGTATTTTCTATGTGCTTGCCAGCAGCTTTGCTCGCAAAATGCTGAAACTGGAACAAAATGATCTCATTACAAGGAATTATTGCTTCAGTCCTGTGTGAGGGTATTGTCTAAATCATGAATGGGTTGACTCAATTTCCTGTCTTTTAGTCAGAGTGTCTGTGCGTTTATGTTTTTCTTTATTCATATACTGAACCTTGAGATAAAACCAGTAAAACCCTATTTTAGAAAAGTGTAGGTGCATTTATAAATATATTTACTATCACTGAACTCCCACTGTGGACTGCTTTCTTCAAATCTAAGCCATTTCGTTGTTTTTTTCTGTTCTTGTATCTATCTATTTATAGATCCAACCATCACCGCAGTGCTGTATGTCCATACTTCCTGCGATGAAGTGCTAGCGTGAGGCTCACAGCTTACTGCAGCTGACTGCTGAATAATTGAGCAATATGAGAGGCTGCAGAGGGACAGCCATTACTAGGGGTAAATATAACTGCCTCTCTGGGATAATAGTCTAATACTTCTTAATGATTCATGGAGCAGTAAATATAACTCTTTCACAGGGGTTACACTCTAATACTATTTAATTATTCACGTTTCAAAAGCAGAGTAAGGCCTGTGGCAAAACGTGCTCAGGGAGGTTAAAAAATATAAATTGGTGGTACGTTAAACAAGCAATTGCGCCGACGTCTGGATAACATTGTTTTAATTAGGAATCTTCTTGATGAATCTCAAAGAGCTTGCCCTAACATCGCTTTAAAAAATGACCATTAAACACTGCTGTGTGCCCTTTCAAACCATGCTTTTAAATAGATTTGAAAAACAAAATTTGCCCAAATGAATGATSAACCCTTAAATGCTTGCATTCAATTAACAAATCAGAAAAAAAAAAGTTTTAACCTTCAACGATCTGCATCAAAATATAAGAATATTCGGCTTAAACTTGAGGCTGACATTAGGCAAAATTATGCACATTTATCTATTAGGAGAGATAGTTTTAATAAATGGAAATTATAATTATGCAGAAATGTGTTACCAAATAAAATGATGCATGTTTGTGCATTTATTAGTCTAACTACGTGAATACAAATTATGTTCYACTGAAACGCTCCCGTGTAGAGTCATATTTTTAAACAAAACATTTGAGTTTGTGCTGCGAACAAACATATAAGAAACATGTTRTCATAAACCAAAGAAACATAAGATGGATGTTCTCCTATGTGTGTCTATATGGTTGTTTTTGCTTTCCATATGGTGATGCTGTGATATCAGTAACACACCAAGTTTAATTCTAATATCAGATCATTTAAAAGTGCAAATTGTATTGTACCTCTGCACCAACGGGACCCTGAGGGCCTCGTGGGCCATGCTGTCCTGGAGGTCCCTGAAAAAAAGGAATGACATGTTATTTTAATAGAACAACATAAAACATTTAAAGTTGTAAAGTGAATGTAAGCCAGTGCCTTCTAAATTAAATAAATGCTAGACGTCAGCCAATGCTAGACAGCTTCTGCAGCGGCCCTATTATCAATGATTATTATTTCACTGACATGATAAAGATGCTCAGACAAGTCATTACCCTCAATATGACACAGATTCTGACTCCTTCTTCTTTTCACCTCCCACTGCCTCTCTTATTAACACTTATTAATAAGAAATCTCTAGTCTGTGATATGCACAAGCATGTTCTCTCAGCCAGAGATGACATGTGATTCGACTCGCCTGCGCAGCTTAAGAGAGCACCGAGCAATTAATCCTAACAGTACTTGGTTTCAGTTTCAGTCGAGTTGCCGTTGAGCTGTGTTGTGAATCACTGTGAAGTCTTGCAGGGATCCTTGTGTTGTAAAGACGCTGAAACAGAGAGACAGACAATCTGCCCAGAGAGAGAGAGAGAGAGAGAGAGAGAGAGAGAGAGAGAGAGAGAGAGAGAGAGAGAGAGAGAGAGAGAGAGA